ACCGGGGATCGAACTCACGACTGCCTGCTTTCAAGGCAGTCGCTTATGCCGCTGAACTAAACCCCCAGCCCCAACTTTCTCCATTTTTATTCTTGTTGATATTATTAATCTGAGTTCATGTTTATGACATAAAATATTTATATTCCCTGAAATTACTAGGTTCCCATATGGTGTATCTTTATTCTACTTATTTCCCTTCCTCTTCCCCTCTTCCTCTCATCCTGGTTCTGTAAGATCCCTGGACATCTGCAAGAGATTCATCCCTTTCCTCCTTTCTACCCATACTTCATTGTGCTTTTTGTTTGTACTTTGCCTTACTCAAATGAGCGACACCACATATTTAATTTTGTGTGTCTGATTTGTTTCATTCAACATTATATTTTCCAAGTGCATCCATTTTCCTACAATTGTCTTGACTGTGTCCTTTATTACTGAGTCCCGTTTCATTATGTAGAGATACCACATTTTCTTTATTCATGCTACTGCTGATGGGTAAATAAGCAGCTTCCAGATTTAACTGGTATGAACTGAGCTCCTATGAGTATCTTCCCACTTAACCAAACAAACGACTACAATAAATAAATAAATAAATAAATAAATAAATAAATTTTGTAAAATGCCATTAGTTTCAAAACAAAGAGTAATTCTATACCTGGAAATAATAGTCCTAGGACACTTTTTGTTGTCCTTCTTCTGGGCTTTTACTTTTTCTAGCTAATGACAGAAAAGAAAAAAAAAATCCATTCTGCCATCTTAAAATTAAAATTTTACCCAGCTATCAAATTGCAAACTAATTAAATTTGTTTCCAAGTTGCACATACATACTTGCAAGTGATGTACCCTATTCCCAATGTAAGACTTAGATTGTACCTCTGAGCAAAGCATTATGACCGAACACAATTTATTATGGCAGGCCTTGATTTAGAAGCTAGGTACAAATATTATATATACCCGCCAAATTTGATTCTGAATACTGTAACTAATCCATCTTTCAGCGCTGTCCTATCTATAAGTCATCCATAAACATTTTATTAAAGTGAAAAAAAAATTACAGATTCAAACAACAGACTGATGTGCCTGCATGATCTCAAGTTCCCTTGCAAATCTGAATTTTTATGAGACATTCTTGCCCTTTATAACTGCCCTAAGCAATGCTATGTACTTATCTATGGGCTTGCTGGAAATAAAAGGAAATGTGGACTGTGGAATCACAGCAGAGCAAAGCTAGCTGATAGTTGCAAGATTTGAGATTCAGGTTAACCAGGTCTCTGAGGCCAAGTTCTGAATCTTAATGCCTACAGATACACAGCCACTGAGGAAGGTACTTGGCTAACAAGTGGGAATGAAGACCAGATGAATGAAGTGGCCGCTATAAAGTCACTCCAGACCTCACAGCCACAAAGGTCAAACTGATCCTACCTGAAAAGCAAACTAAAATCTTCACTGGTCTTCTTCGAAATTTCCCACAAACATGAGAATTCTCAAAACAAGAATTCTTGACAATATTTATTTGCCTTCTTCAAAGAAAAATAAGTTTACAACTATAAAAATAAGTTTATAGATCCAGAGTCAAACAAATATCCAGCAGCTCCTGGTTCTTCTCAGCAAAAGCATTTATCTCCAAAGCCTTGCAGTTTGATAGAGTGCTAAGAAAAATCCTAGAACTGGAGCCATCTGGTAGAGTGGCAACAAGGTCAAGGACAAATTCGGAGGAGGCTCTGTTGGAAACTGCAGACTCCACACAGCTTCGGGTCTCAGTTTCCCTGCTTCCCAGAAAAGGTAATTAATTCACTCAGTAAGTACTTAAAAGGACTGCATCTTGATGCCCGGCGCCAGGGTTTGACTAAATGACCTCTAAGGTCTCTTTCAGCCCTGAATATCTTATAATTCTCATAGTCACACTTAGTAGACATTCTTTTGGCTCTGATCTGAAAATCTGGCTGGAAACATAAACAGACTTCTACATAAAAACACACATTTACCAGCTATAATTTGGACTTGGCAACATGACGTTTCACCAGAGCTGAGATGAAAATGTGCAGAATTTTTTCCAGTGATCTTATTGCTTTAGGCTGCATTATAGTTCCTGTCTAAAGGTGTTCTAGCTATGGCCAGTATAAAGCCAAGGCACTATTCTGCCCAAGTTACTGTTACACAAGGGAAGGACATGTCCATTTTTTAAAAACTTGCCAACAATCTTCCATCCGAAGAGTCTCAAAAATAACACACACTCTCTACCAAATTTGTCCATTTCCATTTGGCAAACCCTACTTTATTTTTTATCTCTCTCCCTTCTGTTTTACAGAGAACATAAGCCAACATGGCAACAGGGTTTTTGTTTATTTCTTTCCTCTTCAAAAACAAAGTCATGGCCTGAGTACATTTATCAGAACAAAGTCCACACAGAAAGACACTTTTTGTAATTTTATGAAAGCCTCATGAACAAGATGAAGATGGCCACTTTCACCGGTTCTATTCAGCACAGTACTGAAAGTTCCAGACAGAGATATTAGGCAAAAGAAAGGATGAAAGGCATCCAAATTGGAAGCCAGACAGTCAAATTGTCCCTGTTTGCAGACTATATGATTGTGTTTATAGAAAACACTACAGATTCCACAAAACCCTATTAGAGTTAATAAATATATTTAGTATAGTTGCAAGATACAAAGTCAACACTGAATTTTATTCCCGGCATTAAATAAATAAATAAATAAATAAATAAATAAATAAATAAAAATACAGAAATCAGTAGTGTTTCTATGTGCAAAAAGCAAACAATTATAAAAATGAAGTCTCATAATAGTTACAAAATTAAAATAAAACAATTATGAATAAATTTTAACGAAGGAGCTCTACAATGAACAATACATGACATTGATAGAAAAAAATCAAAGAGGACACAAGCAAATGAAAAGGCATCCTGTTTTCAAGGAAGGGATGGAATGATGGTTTTTGTTTTCATGAGACTGACTGGCAAAGTCTTACAATCCTTGCTGTTTTTAGTCTCACATATTGATATTTATTATTACATCAAAATCTCTGTACATATAGTAATGTCAATTTAATAACCTCAAATTTATTTTTATGTCATCTAACTATCAAAATTAGGTGTATTTACCTTTTTAAAAAAAATTATAAATATACGGAGACCCAGTGTGGTCTGATCAAAATTGCTCAATGAGTGTAGCTGCTTAACTAGTTTACAAACACAAGTTTTCACTCATTAGGTCAAACAACTTTAACAAAAGTAAAGATTTAAAAAGCAACAAAATAGGTTCCATAGCAATGCAGGAGACAGAATTAAGTGATTCTTTAAATTGTGCTCAGTAAACAATATGCAAAGCATTTGACAAACAAAATAAGACCAAAGATTTACAAAACCAAAATCAAGGGTAATTTTTTTGTGACTTATATGTAAGGTAAGCCAGTCACTTTTTGCCAAAGGTTCTGCTACATAAAATACAATTTGTAGAACTCCTGACTTAGTGACATCTGAATTCTGGATTTAGCAGCAGAGAGCAAAAGAAATACAGGAAATTTTGCTATTCATGCAAGATACAAAATTTGTAATAGTATTCAAAAATCTAGCCTCAAAAGTGAACTGAAACTTGGTGATTACAATTGGTTCTTACTAATTCTGATGGATCAATACTATTAAAAGCTTCTTCTATTGACATTAACTCCATGAAAATCTCCCCATAACCCATGTGGCTCATTCCTTCCTCTTCTCCTTCAAGCCCTTGTTTAAATGTAACCTTCTCAGTGAGCTCTTCCTGATCATGCTCATTCTAAAAAGCTGTATACATTTCCCTACTTTCCCTAACACACAATTCTTCTGTACATTGTAACGTGTACTTTGTTTACATCCACTAACGCACTAACACGTAAGTTCCGTAAGGCAAGAGACATATATCCTCTTTGCTACAGAATTTGTAGTATTTGAATAGTGGTCATGTAGGGACACAGGTATTTGTGGAATGAATGAATCATTTTGTCCTTTATTTCCTCTAACCCGATACTTACACAAAGAAAGCAAGAAAACAGACTGAATTGCTTAAACAGTTCATTCCTATGTTCTTTCTTCATTTACACTTTTTAAGTGAGATTTTAAACATGTAGGTAGACCACACCCAATAGTTATAACTAACCTCTTGGTTTTTTTTGCCTGTGTTCTCCAACAGTAGTTTTAAACTCTTTCTATTTTAAAACCAGTATCAGATACCATTCTACCTCATCTGGAAAAACTTCAAACATTTCTCTAAAAGACAAATATCCTATTTTGTTCTTCAATACATCTATACTAGCATCATCATATCTAAGAATAAAAAAATAATTGTACGATTTTTGTTAGTTTAATGTTCTGATATGTATGATATCTTGAGCATAAATGGTGACACGAGTCATAAGACACCTATGATCAATCTAAGAAGTAATTCTAACATTGTTTCTGTGCTCATCTGTAAATTTCTTTGCAATTTACACTCTGGCACACAGTACTTCTGTGTAGTCAATACAAATGTAAAAGGTTCACCCTTGAACTTACCCAGAAGAGAAAATATTGATGATTTTTGTTTCTGCTTTTGTTAGAATGATGCTGCTGACAAACTAGGAGCCACATTGACCAAGCTGAGTCTTAAAATATCAGCCTTACTCATGTAGGATGCAATGTTTGCGGGTAGAGGAGGGAGAAGACTATAGAAAGGCCTGTGTGTCCTTGGTTAACGAGAAAATGTGGACTTTTCAAACAGCATTCCTAAAAAATTGCTTTTGGTTTTGAAACAAAATTAGTAGGTAAGAAGATTTCTAGGGCTTCAGAGTGTAAGCCAATGTAACTCTGAGAAGCTTGAGTTGGGCATTCTGTATTAAAGTGCTTTAGCTCCTTGCAAGTAGCAAAGCCCTAAGTAGGCTCTAGACAAATGTTTATCCACCACAGAAACAATCACTGAATTCATGCGCTTCCAAGCATGGCTCATAAGCATGGTTTCCACCGTAGCTCTTACCTGCACTTTGAAGACACCTTCATCGAGAGGTGGTGGAGGAGGGAAGTTTCCAGAGCCAGATGGAAGAATGCTGGGATCCTCTAGAGGTGGAGGAGGCGGTGGGAGGAAATCACCTGTAGAAGGAAATCCACACACAAAGTTAACAGGGCTGCAGTTTCATAAGACTCTTTTAAAAGATATATTTGCTGGCATTTTACTCCATTCTAATTGGCTCTGGCATGTAATCTTTTGCCTTGGACAGCAATTATTCCCTATCCCTGAGTTCTTCTCAGTTTAATTAATAGCCTAAACTTTCTGAGGAAGGAGGAACACATTTGATATTTAGAAGTGGCACAAAAAAAGTCTAGAGGGGTTAGATACATTTAGCAAAAAGAGAAAATGGGCTTGGGCTGGGGCATGGGATTAACAAATTGTGTAAGGCTCCATGCTTGCCATCAGTAAATTTGTAACCAAATAGAGGAGGAAAACCATGAGTACCAGCAAGGGAGAGATAAGGCACAGTGTATGTGAAGGGTAAAAACAGAACTTCTGCAAATCACCATAAAGCAATGCTTACGTCCAGATGAAAGAACAAAGGAGGCTGTATTGGATTATATAACTGTCCTTGAACTTTATGATGTACAATACAAGCCTATTCTGGGCAGAAAAACAGGAGGAATATAGGTACACAAGCAAAAAAATATTCAGGGAATAGAGAATAAAAAGCAAGTCATAAAACGGCAATACATTGGAAAGTCAAATAGTATTAGTGGATGATAAAAATGGGAAGCATAACGACTAGTCTAGTGTGATATGCATCTAGAAAAGAGTTTTAAATGTATAATGCATGGAAAAAAATTTTTTGGTTAAAATAGAAGTTATGAAACTTTGAAAATACATGCATTGCCGATGAGGAGAAACTAAAATAAGAATCAATGGAAATCTAAATACAATCCATGCAGAAAGTAATGAGGCTCAGGATACCAAAAAATACCAACACTTCTGACCACCAAGAGTAGTTGTTAAGAGTGCATCTAATCACTAAAATCTGACATATAAACATACGTGTAAGAGCTACACATTTCATGGTTGCAGAATTTTTTTAGAAGAGTTTTTGGGACATTTTATTGCATAAACAGAAACTTCCTCCTTGAACGCTTTTTATAATTTTTCTTCTTCCTATTAAAAAAATTTTTGTTTTTTCAGAAAGTATTCTCCTCTGTTTATGAATAAGTGGCTTTCCTTGCCTTTCAGCTGTTCAAGATTTAGTTCCTCCTGCATAGTATCAAACATCACAGTGTAATGCTTTGGAGGAAGAAAGAATCCAAGAATGAAAGAGGGGGCACAGTAGAAAAGTGGCACACGGGCTTGATTCTTCTCACACATCACTGAAATGGTTTGCTTAGGCTCTATTGGCTTTCCAGTAGCCAATAGTGTAGCCACAGGTCCCAAATCCAGCCCCCAGCCAAATTCAGAGTATCAAGAAGTCAAACACACTATCCTTAGAGTAGTCAGCTTAAAACACCCTCACTATCCGTCAGGCAATGTGCTAAGATTTTCACATACAACTTCTCAAGCACACAACTTTCTATTTGGGTAGTTCTCAAACTTCAAGATTTATGAAAGGTCTAGTTAAATACAGATTTCTGGGTCACACTCCCATGAATTCTGACTAATTCAGTCTGGAGAACAGTCTAACAGTTTGCATTTCTGGCAAGTCCCCAGATGATTCTGACACTACTGAGTCTGAGATCACATGCTGAGATTCACTACTTTAAGCGAAATATCACATTATTTCTACTGCAGACCCACAGGGTTAAGAAGGTTCCACAAATTATGTCACATTAACATTTTCCCCACTTTTCTTACTTTTGTTGCACAAATCTGCAAATATTCTTGGTCCTTCTTCTTGTTAGGACAAAGCTCTCAAAAATACTTATGAACCCCCTGAAGTTTTCATAAAAACTGGCTACATTACAAGAATACCAAGGAATATTATCTAAACATGTGTAATCACATACTCTATCTGCTAGCAATTCAGAAGTGGGAGTTTGGGTGCAGAAGTGGGGAAAACAGGTAAGGGACCAGTACTGGTTGAAAATCCAGAGGATTAAAATGCCTATCCAGGACTCAGAATCTCTCACTTGGCCACAAAGTGCATGGAAAAAAATATTCGAAAGCCTTTAAGAAATAAGAACTGTCACTAAGTATTTTTCCTACCTTTAAAATTGATTACACATGACAAGAATCCATGCAAGCTGGTCTTTAGTAGTGAGGCAAAGAAGACGTGAGGTGCTGGAGACGTGACTACTGATTGAAGCTCACAACCTAATACCCAGGTGAAAACGCTCTACCTGGACCTGTATCTTTTCATGTTCACTGTAAAAGAGGGTTTTTGAGTATACTTACAATTCACCAGATTCTGTTATGTCATGAGGAATTGTCAGAGTATTAGATAAAACTGAATGAAATCTTGGAGATCACATTACAAAAGGAGAAACAAAGGCCCACAGAAGCCACATGAATAATCCAAAATGTCACGGCAAATTAGTTGTGAAATGAAAAGTACAATTGCCTGTCTTTGGAGTTCTTTCCAACTCTATTTCTCTTCACCTTATTTCTCTAATAGAATACAGTGAGGCAGAGACTGATGATAGTCTGAAGGTGAAAAGAAACAGAAAAGGGAAATGGGATATGTATTTCTTAAAGAAATAATTTAAAACCAACAACCATCATCATTCTAAGTAGAATTTGACAGATTTCAAAAAGCCTTAGTGATAACTTCATAATTATCTGCTTTATTTAGATCAGTTACTAAGTCAGACCAAAATTTTCAGTTATTCAAGCTCAACCATCAAATCTTCATACAGCAGCACTCTGCAGTAGAGCTCACATGTGGAAAATACATAAGACGGATATGCCTAAAAAGAGAAATATGGAAAAGGGAGAGAAAACAGGTACTTTGGAGGGGTGGAAAGTTGGGGTACTTGTACTGAAAAACTCTTTAAAGTGTCTTAACTCCAGTAAGAATTATAAGAACACTCACAGCTCATCATTTTAATACACAATATCCATAGAACTGCTTTGCTGTAATATCTAGACATGTATATTTGTGTTATTATGGAGAATCTTTTAGCCAGATTTCCAAGAACATATTATCAAGTTGGAACCTGAATTTCTCAACCAAGGAACAAGAATGGTCGGAAACTTTACTTTTCATTATGCAAATTTTAATGTCATCCCTTGACTTACTTATATTTTTGTCTCTCTCCTGTAAAGTGGGACAAGAAGAGATCAGTTCCTCATTTTCTGCCCTTGAAGGAACCTTAAACTCAGATCGAGTTTAGCCCACAGCGCACTTACATATATCCCTTGTGCCAGGAATATACTTTTAAAATATGACATGCACACAAAGCAGAGAAATTTTTGTCACCTAGAAAACATTTATTTCCAAATGTTCAATTGAGTAGAGTTTTAAAACTCCCAGGAAACACTGTGATATGACACAGTGGAAGAGAACGACTGGAGATAAATCTTACTTAATCCATCACTTCTCAACCTTCTCAGTCTACTGGCACCACTGGTTGTCACTGAACTAGGAAAGAGAGTGCTCCGATTTATCAAATAGGTTGTTTGTATTCCAGATGAAGCACTTTCATGCTCTTGCTCACCCCACTTCTACTCTTCCATCTGACAAGAGAGAGATTACTAATCTTAAGGATCTGGCTCTTCCTTTAAGGTCTTAGTTTCATTTAGTTTACGTATTTAGAGACAGGGTCTCCATAAATTGTCCATGCTGGCCACTAACATGCAATCCTGCTGCCTCAGCCTCTTGAGTAGATGGGACAACAGGCGTGCAAAACATTACCCTAGTTTTAGAAAGAACTTTGTCACTTATGCTCCTGGTTTTAGTGCCACGCAAGATCTGGTTCCCAGGACAGAACAGACAGCTCTTACCTGGAACATTCTTTGAGGCTCTAAAGAAGAATATCAGGATCTCATACTATATCCTGCCAATCCTGTAGTTCATTGTGCATACTTACTCCTGCAAGAAGGGATGAGCTAAAAAGCCTGCCCGCTGCTAAAGACAAAGCCTGTGTCCCATCTTGTGCAACCAAAGACCTCTCTCACAAAGAGAGGTCAAGGAGCATTGGAACTATTAATAAAGCAGCATCAAGATTCCCATTCCATCCTTGCTCTTTGTATGTGCTGCCCTTTGAAAGCTCACTGGGAGAATGTTCATTATCAGGGAAAGGTTTGGCCTTCTCAGCTTGTCTGTCCTCACAGTCATCAAAATAATAACCGAACTCACTCCCCATAAATCCTCTCCTGTAGATGAGCAGTTATGTGACATTGGCTTTGCCTGTACTAGTTTGCATGCTAGACATCCTTAGAGTACAGGTATTTATCATGCATTACTGTACACTGTAAAATTAAGCTTTCTATCATTCTTCCATTTGTATCTTCTGCTGTTTAACTGCAAAATAAACTGATTCCGATAATATTTAATTTTCTAAAAGATCATATCCCTTAGAAAAAGGACTAAGATAAAAAATAATGATAACTGAAAATTATTTGAGGTGATAGATACATTAATCACCTTGTTGTGACTATATATATAATACCTCAAAATGTCACATTACACACCAGTATAAAAATTTGTATGATTATTTGTGCCAACTAAAGATAATACATATTTTTAAAAATATTGATGGTAAAAGGAAACCGGTATATTTTTATGCTTTTACTAGGAGTAGAAGTGATACTAAGTTCCTGCAAGAAAATTTGGCAAAGTTAGCAAATTCTCAAAAATATTTATAAACTTGAACTCAGCAATAACCACTTTATATGTTTGCTTGTTTGTTTTGCAGTGTTGGAGATTGAACCAAGAGCACAAACCAGGCAAGCACCCTGCCACTGGAATCCAGTCATAGCCCAAGTGATGCCTTTTATAATGAATTATGCTGTTAAGAAGCAGTTAAAAAGTGTGCATAGAAGCGTACTATATACTCTGCATAAAAATGAAAGGCAATGGGAAAACTCAGAAAGCTCATCAATAAGGAACTGGTTAAAAAACACACATACTAATCGTTGATTACACTTCTGGAATATTTTGTGACCATCAAAATTATGA